AACAAAATGCAATTGCACCTGTGTAAAGTGTCTGGAAAAGGATGATTATTCGCAGAATGTGTTTTGCTGTCAGAAAGCCTTATTGACTGGGCAAGAAACGAATCCTTGTCCTCTCTCCTTGGGATGTTCTTGGCATGCACTGGCACTGTTCACAGGCATGTAAAAGGCTGATTTTTACAAGTTATGGGTGTTACTGTAAATAAAATTATGAATATGGCATCCAGGCTCCCAGTATTACACTAGTGCAGAAAGGCAACATTTAACCTTCACTCTGAATACCTGAGCAGCGTTTGTTCTTCTACAATGTGGTGGTGCTACTCACCCTCCTTTTATTATACTCCATATCATCAGGGTCTGGGGTGGGAAGACTGGATTCAACCCTCCCTCACCCTGAGGGGTTTGCATCAAGCAAATTCTCCATTTGCAAGTCAGGACTTTGATTGTAAGGCATTTGGCTGCTCAGGGCAGCAGCCACCAATGTGCAGCAGAGAAGCAGGGCTTGAAGGATCGTGGTATAGCCAGTGCCTGCACCCCACAGTGTCTGGAACTCAGCCAGCAAGGGTGCAGCATGGGTTGCTGCCTCTGTTTTCACTATTTTTACCACAGTTGAACTCAAGTTTTTGCTAGTTAAAATACACAAGGTCCCTCAGAACATGAGGAGCAGCACCAAAGCCGTCCCTCCTGGCTGGGTGCCTCAGCTTTGCAGCTGCAGACTCAGAGATATGCTTGCGTCTTTGCTACCTCTTAGAAATCTCTACCTCTTGGATCTACTTTTCAACCTTCCCCTGGATTTTCTGTCAAGTCATTAGTGACTGGAGGTGTAATGGTGGGAGGGAGGCACAGATTTACACCCTCATGTGAACAGGCACCCATTTCTCTCTCCACATACTGTGTTGTCTCCAGTGCAGAAGAAACCCATAGCAGTACAACTCTCTCCTGACTGGAATAGGGATGCCCTTTTACTCCTTGTCTAGAAACCAGAAAAACCTCTGCGGGTCTACCCTGAGGACGGGTTTTGTCCTGGCTGTGTGTAGAGCGGTGTCTGGGGGTGGAAGAGCCTTTGGCGTCTTTCGTAATGAAGTAAATTGCACTCCAGGGCTCTGCATGGGCTGTAAAAGCAGATGATGTTCTCCAGTTAGACACCTAATGCTCAGGCATCAAAGTTAGAACAGATGAGTCACACCTGGAGCAGTTTGTTTCATTTTTAGCAGAAAGTCAGCAGAAAAGCTGGGGCAGGATCCAGAAGCCCTGAGACACAGGTCCAAATATAAACTTTTTTTTTTTTCCCATAAGAAAAGCACCATGTGTTTATAAATTGCTCTTTGCCAAATGACTTGTTCTTAAAAAGAATTACACTGTAATAAGCTACATCATTAAAAAGAAATTTTTCTATGAGCAGCAGAGCCTGATTTCCTGCGGTTTGGTGTCTCGTGGCGGGATTATCTCTCATCTAATGAGGAGCACTCTGGCTGAAGCCCTTTCTCCTATTCATAAAGGCGCTGTCTCATGTGGGTTCTCTGGTGTCCATAACACATGTGGGATCAAACTGCTATTGTTTAGGTTCTCTCCTATCTGACAATGTAAAACTACCCACATAGCAAGCTGTTCCTCCCGGGAGATGTGAAAGGGTCATACTTCTCTACCCTGCTGCCTCTTCTCACAAAACTGGTTGAAAATTAAAGTCTTTGAGACGTCTATCACACAGTTAAATTTGACTGAAATGGGCCAACAGGCTAAAAGAGCATAATACTGGACTGATGCAACAATATAATAAACCTAATTTTATTAGGTAATCAGGCAATAAATGATGGATAATAAATACTGGAGCAGATTAAACATGGAAAAAAAAGTGTTCATAAATATTTATTCAAACATTTAAATGCACTCAAGGTGACCATTATATGCCCGTTTTGCATTTCAGTTTTAGAGGTTTGATTCACAGCCATATGAAAAATCAACAAGGGCACAGACACTCCAGTACTTACACTCATACCTCAAAAGTGAAAGCAAAATAATAGTTTGCTATGAGATTTTTTTTCACAGAGAAAAAAGGATTTTTTCAACCTTTCTTTCAGAATATTACAAAATTTAGAATTTAGAAACAGGAATGTTAAATCATTCAGAAACCAGATGTTGAAGATGATTTTCACCTAGTCAGGGAATAAAAACAGATCATGTGATTTGCGTTGAATTTCCAGAATTTTCAATAAACCTGAACAAAGTCAGACCAAAAATCCTTTGCTGAAATGATTCATGGAAATGTTTTGAAAATGTGAGATGTGAAAAGGAATTCTTAATTATTTTCACACACACACGAATCACAAATGAAAAAAAAAAAATTATACATTGAGTAAATTGCTCATCGTAATTTATTTTTCCAGTTCCTGAGCCATAGAGATGTGCTTGTCATAAAGTGATTTTTGGAGATATTTTTCTTACCTTGGATACAGTTTAGATGGATGAGCTACCATTGCTCTTCATGCTTATCAAATTAGGAGAATGCATTTCTAAATTCAATTACATCCTCAGTGGAAATGGTTTCTCTGACTCTGGTAATCTTTGGAGAAGAATTATACACAGTCTATAAAACTTCACATTTCAAAACCTAATTTTGAATGTTATTCAAGAGGTTAATTTAAGATTCATTTTCCTAAAGAGGAGTTAAATAAAACTGATAGAAGGCTGGAACTTGTCGAGTGGTTGAGAGGTTTATCAGCATGTGAGTATGAGTTCATTAGTTTTAATTAGTATAATCACTAATGTTGCATTAACAGTTTGGTGAGAGAAAGTAATTGCTCACACCCACTGTATTAGATTGGGAGATCAGAATTCATTTTATGAGGCAATTAGCATTTCAGGGATTTTTTTAAAAGGTTTTTACGATCTGCCATTGCAGTAGCTTCCTTCACCAAAAAGAGTTTAAATTAACCATAACTTTCATCCTAATGGGATGCAAAAATTAATGTAGAATTAAGTGTGAACCAGCAATCCCACTGTGATAAGCAGGCAGCTAAAACCACAAACCTCGATTAGTCTATAATGACCTGTTTTATTTCCCAGACAGTGATAGTCATTTATCTGTCCTCAATTCATTATCTTATTGGAAAGTTTATTTTCTTGAATTTTATACAGCAAAACAAATAAAATATGAGGAAGAGACAAGCAAGTAATAATTCTCCAAAGAAAAAGCTGCAAGGTTCAATAATAGGCCTTAAATAGCCAATTATTCTTCATATCAAATGTCAGAGGAAGAAGAAACAGGACACCCGGTGCCTTGGGAAGAACCATGAATTTCACAGCAGCAGCAGTCACAACCCTTCTCTGTCCATCACATGCCTTGACAGCTACGGACAAAATGAGAATGGAGATGCAGGACTTTGTCATCTTCATTGGCAAGGAAGCTCTGGTCATCTGAGAGTTAGGACAGTTGACCCAATTCTTCCAAAACATCCTAGAAAGCAAAAGTGCAAGTTCTGGTAGGAAAAAATGCTTACAGTAGGAATGCTTACTCTCTTGTCAAGGCTGTAATGAAAGGCATCACAGTATACATAGAGAGATGAGACAACACACCATTTACAACATATCTGGCACATATTATGTGAGATTATGCTTGCCCCTGGTTAAAAAAAAAAAAAAAATCTCTGCTCAAAAATAGCTGAATAAAGCACAAATCGGCTGTAACTTGGATATGGCATGAAGGAGAACTGTTAGATGATAGAACCATACTGTTGTCCCTGTAATTTTGGGTACATACGTTAAAATGAGCAAACATGGGGAAGTATTCAGGGAATTACATGAATCTCCCTAAAGCATACGTTAAAGCGAAATGTACATACATATGTATGTTCTCTTGATTCTTATACTCCTTACAAGCATTTCCAAAGGAGTTCAGAGAAAGACAATGTCCTCCTACATTTAAGCATGTAAAATTTAGGTACAACTAGACAGATTGGATTTCAGCCTTAGTCACTCTTAGGAGTTGAATTACTCCAGCGAAGAGAAGGGCTGCCTCACTCTAGTGACTGCAGAGGCAGTCTAAGGTAACCAGGGTTCTGTCTCGGATAGCTGAAGTAAATGCTTAAAAAAGGGTAGGATGAATCATGTCCAGCATGTCTGTGCCTTAGGGTTTGTCTATGAGCAGAGTTATTGTGGAGAGCCATTACTCTTCCTGAATAACAATATATGTGGATACACTCTTGGTTGAATAAGACTTACTCATTTCTCTTCAACATCCTCCTGACAGAAGCAGAGAGGTTTGCTTCCTAGTCCTCATGTGGAATTTTTCTCCAAGAGCTGCTGCCTTTTTAGCTAGCTGCCCTACCTTAATCCAAATTTACTTTAGTATAAAAATGCCCTAAATTTGCCATCCATCCACCTTTAAGAGACATTTAAGATTTATGGAGGTAAGTGCATCAATTAAACACAAAAAAAAAAAAAAAAAAAAAAAAAAAAAAAAAAAAAAAAAAAAAAAAACAAGCAAGCATCGTATACAATAAAAACTGTTATTTCACAAATTATGGGTGTTATAAAGCATATTGTTTCAGGAGAAATGCCTGTATTTGCCAGTGTGTTTCATTAAAGAATAATAAAGCCATACATATTTCATTTCCTTGTTCTGAGCTACAAGAGCCTTAACTATATAAAATGCCCCATGCTGTCCTTGCTTTGTTGGGCTTTCTCTTCTTTTTAATCAGATTTTTCCCCCAAAACTAATGAAACTGCTCTTTAAACAAATACATCACTTTCATTTGAAGTGACTTATCATGGCTCAAATGATTTCTCCCTTATCCTGGAGAACAAGGCAACTGCCAGTACCTTTTGCTGTGCAGATCCAGGTCTGGATTGCCCCTGATCTCCAGAGTGGTGAGTTCCTGGCATTCCCGCTGGTGCTGTTTTAGGGGGGAATATTAGGTGACTGATGTCTGTAGGGTCTGCACCTTGCATATCTGAGTTGGTTTCTGGTCCACTTGCTATCACATGTAATCTCTCTCTTCTTGTAGTATGCACCGACCCGCTGTGCAGGTGCACAGACATCCGTGGAGCAAGGCATCCTTCCTCCCTGCCATCACCATGAAGCAGTGCACGACCCCCAGCTGGTTCCCTGCACATGCCCACTCTACTCCTGCCCATGGGAAGGGCACCTGGAGGTGGTGGTGTCCCACCTGAGACAGACCCACCGCATCAACATCCTTCAGGGGGCAGAGATTGTCTTCCTGGCCACGGACATGCATCTGCCTGCACCCACGGACTGGATCATCATGCACTCTTGCCTTGGCCACCAGTTTTTGCTGGTCCTCAGGAAGCAGGAGAAGTATGAAGGCCACCCCCAGTTCTTTGCCACGATGATGCTGATTGGCACGCCAACCCAAGCCGACAACTTCACCTACCGGCTCGAGCTCAACAGGAACCAGAGGCGCCTTAAGTGGGAGGCTACCCCCAGGTCGGTACTGGAGTGTGTTGACTCTGTAATTTCAGATGGGGATTGCCTTGTGCTGAACACTTCCCTGGCTCAGCTCTTTTCTGACAATGGAAGCCTAGCGATAGGAATTGCAATAACCACCAGCAAAGTTCACAACGCTGAAGATGAAATGTGAGGGGGAAAAGGAAGAGGAGAAGGAGGAGGAACAATGGTGCTCTAGCTGCCTTGTGAGAGTCAGAACTTACAGACTTTTTGGGGGGGTCTCAGGTCTTTTATGGTATTTAGTACTTGTCCACAGTGGGCATTATGTAAACATCCTGTGGTTACAGTCTCTGTGTAATGTATTTACTGTTTTGTTAATACAATTTTATGAGAAATTTTAAAGAGGCTAATCAATTTATTGTCGACCTCCAGCAACACTGGAAACAACACTTTCTCCTGGAAAGTGCACCCAGGGTGACTCCTAGAAACCTTTGGCTTGAGCATGCTGTGCAAATGTGTTCCCTTCATTGCCTAACTGCCTGGTATTAAGGAGGCCCCTGTCCCTGGTAGAAGGTAAAGTATTCCACGAAGGGACAAGAGCACCCAGGTTTCCATATTAGCAATAGTGATTTAACTCTTACCCTGTGGTCACAACCAAGTCCCAGGGAGTCTGCAGTTTCAGAGCTCCCTTCAGCTTCTGAGGAACCAACCTTCATCACCCAGACAATGAAAGCTTCAGAAGAAAAGCAAGCAACTCTGCTGAACCAGGGTCTGGAAAGCCTTGTTCTGCATTAAATTGGGGATGACAGACAATGGGTGGTCACTGTGAGCATGGTTAAATCTCACTCTTGTATCATGATTGGGCAGTGAGAGGCTTGCTAGCTGGTCTGTCTCCGGGATGGATATAACCACAGCCAGCCATTGGGGCGTTACCTTTTTAGCTCCTATTTCCTCAAGCATTCAAAAAGAGATTTCCAGAAAATAAAGTATCAGAACAGTCCTAAGCTGTGTACTGATCCTGCTCTTGAATTCTGTGCCACTTAGACCCACAGCACATGCTGCTAAATATTGATTTAAAACAATGCAACTGGAAGATCTGTTTGCAAATTGGCTATGTGGGGGGTGGTGATGGTCCCTTTCTTCTGCTGAGGGCGTTTCACAGATGGCCGTGGTCACAAGGAGGCATTGGGCTTCTCTAAGAGCTTCTCCCTTGGATGGGTCCTTGGGGAGAGTCAGAGGCAGGTGCTGGCAATCTGACACTCAGTCCCATCTGCAGTCAGGCATGTCTCCTCCATAATCAACAGCAGCAGTGAAATTCCACTGCAGTTGGTGATGTGTTGAAGGAGGGGAATCTACAGTGAGTGTGACACATGAGAAGCATGGGAAATTGTCTTTTCCTGTTTTCCCTTCTGCCCATGTGTGGCTGTGGCCTGGTTGAGCCTGAATGCTTTTTTGAGAAACATCTGGTGGGTTGGGTCAGTTAGTGGCTAGAATGGCTCATTGCTCAAGTCCCTTGGAAAACAAAGGAAGGGGGGAAGCGAGCTAAGGACAGTCCTTCAGTGTTTCAAAAGGCACCTTGTTGTAGCTAGCTTTGGGTACGCAAAATAACGGATGCTAATCTCTCTCACCTGCTGCTCTGCTGGGAATTATTATAAATGATGTGTGAAGTAAAACGAATTGCAATTTTCCTGAGATGAATGCTATGCAGGTAACGCTTTCTGAGTTGCAGAGGTATCTTGCCTCCTTCCTTACCTGGGCTTTCATAGCAGGTCACCGCTCAGAGAGGAGCTAGGGTCTCTTCAACAGGCTGTTCATGACCACGCAAGCTGAGGTCTGAAGAAGTTTCAGTCCCTGTAAGAGTGTGCCGAGGCATACCTTCACAGCTCTCCCACCTCTGAATTTGGGGGGCCAGGGGGACATGCTGGTTTGCAGAGCTTCACTGGAACATGCAGGCTTCAGAGTGGCTTGCTTGCTTTTTCCCTGCGATGTTAAATATTCAGAACCGGCAACTGCTGCCCTTTCCCTAAATGATAGCAATAAATAAATTATTGGCATTTTTGTGGACTGAAACTGGATTCTCCAGCTCCTCCAGCAAATATTCTGCTTCTGAATTAAAGCAAGTCAAAGGCAATAAAACCCCAATAAACACAGTTCCTCTAGTTTAAACTTCCTGAGCTCTTTGTACACTGCCGTAATACTGCTTTTGTTACATGATTACCACCAGTGCTACAGAGGGTATCCCTCAGGTATTCACTTGTTCCAGAACTTTGTTCTTGAAATAGCTACTGAAATGAAGAATGTGCTGCTGGTATTTTCGGGCATGCCCCTGATCAAAGGATGAGTGTGAGTGACAACAGTAGTTCTCTGGGATGGGCATGTCCATCCCTTGACAGTATCCTGTATATTCTGGTTTCAATGGGGCAGGGAACACAGTGGAAATGTGACATCCCTGACACAGACCTCCTCACATCCCATGTGTCCTTCTCCCAGAGCTTTCTTGTTGCCACAAAACCAGTTCAGTCTATTTCCTTCCTAGTCCTCACCATCATCTTGGGGCCACCCTTCTCAGCCTGTTCTCAAGCTTGCCTCCTCCCGCTTTTGCCTCTTGGGTGACATTGCTTAAATTGTTCTCACTGCTCTTTGCAGCCAACGGGGTAACCTCCTTGCTTGGTTCTCTCCACTGCTGCAAAGCCCCAGGTCTAGCAGGGTTTTCAGAAATCCAGATATGTTGGAATACTGATGAAAATCTGCCCCTTAAGGCTCCCAGTACAGAAAACAAGGACACATTTTGGGGAGAAAAGAGATATGGGTGCCTGTATCCAGCCTTCATAAGCATCTCAACATAAAACTCAAATGTTTAAGGGTATATTTAAGGACTTTATACCACAGAGGACATTCTAATTCTGTCATGATTCAAAGCCTATGAGCAACCCTTCGCTGCTACAAAGCAAAGGTGAAGCAAATATTCTGCATTGTGAGACAGAAATCCTAAAATATTGCCAAGTAGGATCAGCAATGAAATTCAATTCACATGTACTCTTTCAGTGCCCATAAAATAACACTACAGCTACTCATGGTTGAAAGGCAGCTGTAGCTTGGTTTCCTAAATTTGGGCTGAAATCAGAACTTTTAAAATTCATTTTGTACTCTAATGTTTAGCATCTTCATAATGTATTGTACCCAGTCACTCCAAATTCCTTTAAAAATGTGAAGAACACAGCCTTACATCTCTTTGAAGTAAGGAAGTACCCTTCATTTGGTGCAGGAGAAAATGAAGTCTCGAAAAATTGCTATGCAGTTGTTGCAAAGTTCTGTTTTCCTACCTACCTGAGAGAAGTGTTCCCTCTTTATTTTGGGGTTGGTTTGGTTTTTTTTTTTACATAGACAAAATGGTGGGTTGGTAGGGTTTTTTAGAGTTTTTACATATCTGTCTTCATGGATGGATCTTCTTGTGCCTAGATTAGTAAATTGCAGCAACAATTTCATCAGACTTAGCCAGATGGATTTCTACCAGACCCACTAGAAAACCTACTTTGGTTCTTCTGCACTATCCATCAGACACAGTGTGAATGTTAATGTCAGATCTGCAGTAAAACAGCACTAGTGCTTTCAGCTCAATCCCATTATGAATTAAGCTCACATCATATATCCACGACTCCTTATAAATCAGTTGAAGCATCCCGAGTCTCATCATCTTGAAGATGACAAACGATCTTGCTGTGCCAGTGCCAGCCTGAGGGCTTTCTGAGAAGTAGGGCAGTAGTCCTCTTCCCACTGGACTCTGATATCATGTTCTCTGTTTCATACCATCCTTTATGAATACAGGCCAGTAAACTACTAGAGAAAGGAGGGATGGTAAATTCTAGACAATGAAATGGGTATAACAAAATGAATGATTTACAATAAATTGCTGGATACTGCAGCATGGCTCTCTCTTTTGGGCATCAGAGGAATGAAACCCAATTGACAGTACCATAGTATAGGTGATTTATCTGCTTTTCTAGCCCATAACACATCTGAAAAACACTTTGATCAGAGAATAGTGTCAGAGCAGACTCAGAAATGCACTCCTGCTTCAGCTGGATGAGAAACACCTTCTCACATGGAGGAGCTGCAGCTTCTAAACTGTTCAACACAAGCATAAGGTTTGGTTGTTTGGGGTTTTTTAAATCCGATTAACTCCGCATGCTCACACCATCTGAGTGAATGGCGGAAAACAAAGATTGCCACATGTATCATCACCAGAACTATTCACACAAAAAGATGATTCATCTTCTGCAGAGATGACCCTGCAGAAGACAAGGGGGTTTCACAACAAGGTAGCACAGGGCAGTGCCTGCAGGCTCCAGAGACATACACATACAACCGAGGGCAGAGCTCAACCACTGTACAGAAACATTACTCAATAGAAACCACGTGAAGTGAGGTCGCTGCGGGGTCTGTCAGGAAAATGATCAGACCTCCTGAAAGCAGCAAGCCAGTGGGGAGCTGAGGCTCTGTGAAGAGAGGAGTCTCCACATTAGCACCTTCCACCCAGCACAAGGGTCTCTCATCTGCTGGAAACCTTGCCTTGGGAGCAGTGCAGATGAGAGGATCAGGCCTTGGCACTGTGGGTCTTTGTGCAGATGGCCCTGATGTCACATAGTGAGTGCAGACACCCAGCCCCAATTCTGTCCCACAGATCCTCTGGTTTCGGTGGGTACCCAGCTACCTGCAGCTGCCAGTAGTTCCTCCAAGTCCTGGCATCTGTCAGTTTTGTTGCCTTTCACCTGCATAACTCCCATTGAGGTAGGAAAGTATTGGCTGAAAAACACCCAAAAAATCTTTGACATCAAATTAAACCTATACCTCATACCCATGGTTAGGACTACGATCACTCATTCTTTCTCTCTGCACAAAGGCAACAGACTAATGCATAACTCTTTTATCCCTCTTTGGGCTCTGCCCCTCCAGAAATGCATGTGAAGGATTAGCAGGCAGTGATCATCTTAAAGAGAAGGGTAAGGACTAACATCCAATGCAAAGGTAGCTGTTCTTGCAGTACTTTCACAAAGGGATGCCAGGCTCAAAAAAAGAGCCTAACAAACCTTAGCGGGAAGCAAATGGGAAACACCAATTGCAAAGCCTGCTGTCCTTCAACTAGATTGAGCTTCATATCTTCCAGGTACTGAAAATCCTCTTGAGACATTGCCTATCTGAATACATCACTTAATCTTGTAGAAAGCCCCAGGACTGAGGGGTTCTTGCTGTTAGAAATTGCATCAAGTAACCTTATTGAAGATAAATGGCTTTGAACTTTCATGGCAACAGTGATGAACTGCTTCAACATCCATGTAGTGAAGGCTGAAAAATCAGAGCTTTTAGACAAAGAAATAAACTTATTCAAATGCAAATGCAAGATGTGGGGCAAAGTTTTCAGGTGATCCTAAAAGCACTTTCCTTATTGCTGCAGACTGAATGTCTGATTAGCAAGAATAATTTCACTGCCAGTCAGGCCCTATTGACTTGAGTTTAGGAGAAACTCAGATATTCTCCCTTCCTCTGCTAAGGGAAACCACTTTAAAAGTAAAGCAGACGCTGTCATGTATGAAACAAGTCTGGAAGGGAACTTTCTTTTCAGACCATACTACCTGACCAGCAGACAGTGGGGAGAGCGCTACACCTCACATCTGTTCAGGGTGAATCCAGAGTTGCAAGCACAACCTTATGTAGACACTTTCTCCATGTTACAATCCCTGCTTCAACTATTGAAGATAACAGCTCTCAAGAAGCTGGCTTGCAAGCTTTGATGGCTTTAAGACTGTTTTCTAAAAATCTGCTAATACTGACTTCTAAGCTGCAATGGTTTTAGGGCATGAGACACTGAGGCTCCACTGAGGCTCAGTGAGAGTCATCAGTGTGTGTGCATGGGGGCGACACAGGCAAGCCCTACATCTTTGCCCCTGTCTTTCACAGCAGGAGCACTGGATACACCTGCAGAGGTTTGTTTGGATCTGTCCTAATAAAGTGTGGTGAATTGCTAGGCCACAGAACTGGATGCCATCAATTCTAAGAGATGTTCAGCCCAACAGCAGCCAAAATCAGTGCGAGTCCCTCACGTAGCTTTGAGAATTAAAACAGGAACTTGCACAGAAGCGTTAGGCCCATTCATATCTCTATCAGATGGCTTCTATTCTGGGATATGGGTTTCTCTCTGGCTTATGATAATGACAGAAGGCTACAAAACATGGCTAGGAGCTACTGCACCTTCCACAGTAGGGTACTGATCCACAGAAAGGTCTCTGAGAACTACAGTAATATAAACGAATAATCATATCATATACTAATATAAAATAATAATGCAGCAAGGCCTTTTAGGGCTGATAACATCTTTAAAAGTAGCAGCTGATACTGAAAGGGATCATTACTCAAAGTGATTCTCAGGTGATGCCTGTGCTTTTGCCATATTGAGATGTGGAAGAAGATATTCAGAAGAGTGACAGTCTCAGGGCTACCCTGATTATTCAAAGAAATGTTGAATTAAAAAAATAACTAGGAGAGTCCTGAATGAAGCAAAAAAATATATTGCTGTTGCCTCTGGGCAGTAGTTTCTTGTGACTTGTCCTTGGAAAAGGATTTCCAGTAGACAGAAGGTTGAACTTTGGCACATCACAGCCCCTGCTCTGTCACTTACAGAGTTTTCACAAAGAAATACTTAACCAAACTGTAAAAAGAG